TACATTGCTCAGATTACCAGATGTAGGAATGAAAGATTGCTCAAACCATTATAGGGAATAAGAAAATAATTCTTCAATCAAACAGTGGAGATAATACAGAGTTTCACTGGACAAGATGGTAGGAGTTGACCACTGTAATTCCATTGCATATTGTTGCCTTCAAATCAGTTGCTCAGACCACCAGACACAAGCATGCACAATGGATCAGAACATAAAAAACTGGAATCATTAACTGTTCATTTCAATACACCATCAGACATCAGCAATGCAGTTATCACAGCTCTGTATCACTTTGAACATTCTTGCTTTGATTTGTTTATGTTTGCGATACTAGTATGCTGCTACTGTTCTATTTCTTTGTTTGTTTCTCATTTACTACTTTCTTTAAAAAAAAAAAAAAAGATGGAATCAATTCCTTCTCTGAGTTTGGGTCTAAGATACAGCTGGACAGCATGTTCTAGTACCCAAATAGGCCATTCAGTGTTTTCTGGAAATCATATCCTTTACCCCAAGTGAGTAGTGCGCTGGATCCTTTCCACTATCCAGTATGAAGGTTTTTCCAGAGGTCCCTTCCTAACTTCGTTTCCTTTTCCTGCCTTTTTCCTGCTGTAGTCCCATCCCTAGTAGGATTTAAAAGTTAGTAGTATACAGTACTAAGTGAAGTCTGTTATGACCTCTGAATTTTGTAAAAAAGGATTCCCCATTTTGTTTTTGTAATGGAATTTTGGGTTCATGGTTAGCACATTCAAGAATTCCTTGAACTTGTAGGTATGAGGGGCCAAGATCTGCACAAACTGGAATCATCTCAGACAGTGTATCCCATTTTTTGTGGGCTCTGAAAGCCTCTTTACACCATTCATGTGCACTTTGAAAGGCCAATTGTTGAGCAATTAACTTAAAGGGTGACTCTGTTTTATGAACTGAAAAGGTGGAAGTAGCTGCTAGTGGTGCAGTTAAGGTTATGGGGCATTGTGAAATGGAATTCACACGGATACACTCCTCTAGTGGGGGAGGGTCTTTTTTGTCCCTCATTGCTCCTTTCTTATCTAATTGAGCAAAGCTAGAGGGCTTAAACTCTATTCAGGTGGCTGTTGTTCTGCTATCTTTTTCTTGCTTGGCACTTGATTTTAAATTAGTG